CACAAGACAAAACGAAGAAATAAGCTTGTCCTATTCTGTTGTACGGCTGGACGAAGCAGAGCAGTGCCATAGGGTAAGACAAGACAGATTGCAGTAAGTTTTATCCAAATGTTGCCGAATTCAATTCGATTTGAAAAAAATCTAGCAAACTTGAGCAGTATTTATGCATGAAGATAGATAAATTGAAACTGACTTTGAACCCAATAGCATTTCAAAAATTCTAAGAAGAAAACTTTCACGTTTGTTGTGTTCTGCCCTCCTCTCAAAATGTCTAATTTCGTCAAACAAAAAACTAAATTTTCAATAAATATATAACTGAACACTCTCAATCCTATGCCTTACGAATCAATATAGTTTTGAATTTTCTTCCTCCGAAAAAGTGGATTTTCGGCAAAAAAAGTCGATTCTCTCATTACAAAGCTATTTTTTCGAAAAAATGGATTTTTGTCAAAAAAAAATTTTTTTGGGAAAAACGCCTTTTTGCATCATAAAACCACTTTTTGAGCGTAAGAGATGATCAGATAGTCTACAGTTTATGCTGTTCTGATCATATGATTATTGATAAGTGGATTATTTTGAACAAGTCTCTTGAAGTGTTTTCATCATTGAGGAAACTATTTTCAGAGTTAATGTACGAATTGTACAAAAATTCAAGTTACAGATATTGCTTGAAACTTCAAATAGTCTATGGGGATAAGCTTGTTTGAAAATAGATAATCACTAACAAATACGTCCTTCTGAAAAAAAAACCAAAATTTTATCATTTGTCTATGCAGCAATATTCGCATAATAAACTGTTTTTGCGATACACGATATTTCAAAAACTTGTTTCACGTTTTCTTAGAACGCGGATTCGACGATGCATCTCCAGCAGCATTCTATCACAGTACGAGATAAAGTCAAATCTTTTTTGTTTGAAAGCTCGTGTTTAGGGCTAGCAACTTTCGTGGTCTTTTTTTGTATAAAAAGGCTTAAACAAAGAAACGATGTATTCATTCTTTTTTATCTTCCCTCAAAATTCCACTATTTTCATAGAATTTCGACCTCGCACATGTCCCAACAAGTAAAAAAATCAAGAAAATCAAAAAAAGGCGACGAAAGTTGCTAGCCCCAAGAATTATCTTCTTTAAAATAAAAAGTAAGAATTGGCTCTATGTCTTAATGTAGTTAAATGCGCTTGGAGATGTGGTAGGTACTAAAATGGCGGAGAATTGCAAGGTTGTTGTGCAACAGAAATCCAGTTCTATACTGGTATTTTATGGCTTCATTAACAGCGAGAATAAGATAAGAATGGAGTTTTTTCTTCGTCATAACAGCAAAAGGTGTGAAACAAAGAGCATGGCTTTCTATTTGTTTCTTACCGTATGACAAATGAACGGCAGGTAAGTGAGAAAGATAAGAAGTTTGTTTGCCAGTACGAACGAATCTGCTAGAAAGATCGTGACTAGGCATGAGAAAAATGATCTCGTCTTACCAGGACCAAAGCTTTTTTTCTGGCCAGGACCGAGATCAAAAACGATTATTCCTGCTTATAATTAATGACAGCATGTCAATATAAGATTCTATAAAATTCATTCAAAAATTTGATACGAAGTTTACTGCATCAACAAAAATAAACTTCTCAAGACTATTTAAGCATAAGCTTAGTACTTAAAGGTGAAATTTAGTAGAGAATTATTCAGGAATGATCACTTCAATACTTGCTGTTACAATTTTGATAGTAAAATTAATCCTTTGTTTTCGTCAACAATATATTTGTCGAGCGCATCAATATACAGAATAGACGAAGTATTAGTCAGTTAAAATAAAGTAGTCAACCTCCAAGAGGGAGTATATTAGAGGTCATGTGAGTCGTACAAAATGTCTTAAGGCTATTGATACTGCTGTGCAATCACACAAAATTGTTTGCTAGTATATGCATTACTAAGCACGAAACCAGAACCAAGGATCTTTTCTAACCGTGCCCGAGATCGGGACGAAAAAATACTGGTCCTGCTGGCGTCTAATCGTGACACAATTGTGAAATAGTGAAACGTTGACGCTTTTATCAGAGATAGAGCCTACCTGTTTAAACCGTAGGTTTTGAAAATTCCTGAGTGAGATACTTGGCTGAGATGACTGGATATTGGTCTTGCTGGATGTGAGAACCGTAGGTTCGGCCACGACCTGAGTGAAAATCTCTTCTTGCGTCTGAAACTAGCAAAAAATAATTTTGTCTTTTTTGCATGTGGATTAGCTGTGGTGGGAACACGATTTATGGGTGCATTTAAAATGTTCGCACTGGCGTTCTACGTGTTTATTACGATCCAAAAGACGATAATAGACAATGCATGTAAGCCACGTCTTAGAGTACTCATCTTAACACATATGATAGAAGAAACAGTTTAATCATTTATTTTACGCAAGCCGATTCAGAAAACAGGAAAAGTTGGACTTTATATCGAATTTTCTCAAAATTCAAAAATACACCAGTATCACGCGTCTTTTTGGAATTATTATATTTTAAGAGAGACTCAATTGAATGAGCTAAGACTATTTTGTGGACGCCATATATGGCCAGTATCCTTACTCATACAAAACATTTCAGATCACATCAATGTACCAAAGCCAAACTATCGGTGCTGATTATGGTAGATAAAATGCCCTTTGCAGTCAATTTTACCATCCATTACCTCAGGACTGAAGAAATTTAAGTGTGAAATTTTACTCACAACTGGATCTCAATGAGATCTCTTTGTGGTATAAATTTCAAATACTCGCCAACGTAGTGTCTGTTTTGGGCAATCTCGTCAAAATCGAAACTTTGATCAAAAATCTAATTTTACCCAGTGATTCCTCAGAACAAAACTGGGTGGATTTTCATCGAAGTAGTTGGTCCTGTAATACCGACCTGTAGTCTAAAAGTTGACGCGAAATTTAACTTGGAGTCTCTAGAAACGACCCTGACATTGATCCATCTTTATGACTTACAAATGGGGTAAATTTCCCATAATAGAAGACTCCTAATTTTAATTGATAGTTAGATAATATTAAGCCATTTATTAATATTTTTCAGTTAAAATGGCCTATTTTTCAGGGTTTCTTTTTACTAAATGAAGACCTGAAATCCTGGAGAAGCTTCGAAAACTAAGGAGATTTTCCAGAAAATTTTTTAATTGAAAATCATGAAAACATTTGTGTCATAATAGAAAAGTCCGCAGAAAACTTTGTGAGCTATGACATAAAAGAAGAGATCGGATCGTCTATTATGGGAGAAAGAAGTAGGTGTTCTTCTATCTACTAACCTGAACGATGATAAAGCATCATCTTAATCATCACATATAGGTGAATCGAGACGATGAACACAATGGTTTTACTCTTTCTGCCTTCTGTTAATGCTGATTTTGAAAAACCACAAAAAAATCGGTATTTTACTCGGTATCCGACATATGAACAGATATATTGTGAATTCGACTGCACCTATTCAAGCATCCATAATATTGTAAAATGACTCCTCAGACTCACAAAAATGCCTCCTATCCGAATTTGAGAATATGGACGTGAATAGTTATTTCATTCGCACCTAAGGTCACGTGAAATCTTCCAAAGATATAATTTTTCTATATCCGTATTTTTTATCGGAAAACTCTGCCATTGATGATGGTAACTCAGCTTATAAGAATCGATCAAACCGACGACATTGCTCTCGGATTCAGATTCCTCATTCTCAGTTACGTCAAGTCAAGTTTTGCGACTATTCGTATTTGTGATTTTCGAACAATGCAATGGGAATGTTCGAAAAATAAGAATAAGATTATTATACGTCGTGGATATGGGAATACATCGATTTTGTCTTGATTTTGTCAAAATTGTTTTTCTTTAAAAAATGCTTCATTCTCTTCACGATAGTCTTCTGAGTTATAAGCAATCAATTATCAGTAAAAGGAGTTCGTTTTCAAGTATGAAAACTGTACGTTCGTCTGCCAAGCGAGAAATGCATATTGTTGGACGCGAAGAGGGACGTGTCAAAATTATCGTTTTAAAGTAAACTCTCTATTTGTCTTTTAAGATAGGCACTTTCACAAAACATATTGAAGTTGAGTAAACAAGTTGTGTTCATCGAACACTGATTCACCTAACGATAGACTGAAGGATTTCAAAATAGCATTAAAATTTATATTAAGAACAAATTGATTGAACAAATATTATTTAACTTTCTTGACGCGTGAATTTCTTGATTTACAAAGCGCGTACTTTAGTTATTGTTAGACAAAAGAGTGATCAATTACTGATATAATTGAGTTACTTGAGACAAAATATTGATCAGCTGTTTGTTAAACGTCAGGAAAAATATTGTAAAACAGGCAGATGGTCTCAGAAATGGCCATAGGGATCAAAATAGTTTTGCTAAAGACGTGTTAAGCCCATAAAATCTGAAACACTACATCAGCTGTTTTTTAAATTGTGCTTGAGGTCGACATACATATAGAGACGTATTCTCGTTTCTAGAAGGTAATAATGTTTAACCTCGACGTGATCTGTTCGTATCTTACCCCACAATTATATTCCCTTTCATACATTTCGATGAATTAATATATGATCAAGGTCATTCTATGGTCAATTCGTTCAAAACATAGGCACTATTATGGTCACTTACACTAAAAGCCCATACCCAATCTTACAAGACTTTTATAAAAATAATCTTTAGAAGGGTCGTTTCTGGCACGATCATAGATGTTTAACTCAAATTTGTGACCAAATGAAATCCCAATCAATACCTTTTAGTTAGACCAATGATCATCTGAATGAGAAGTTAAAATATCTTTCAGAAGCATCATATGAAGATACGAAGATGATCAGTGACACATAAACAGTTGTTTATTATTGACTAGTTGTGAACATTTAACCTAAACATTCTATATCACCCAATCAGTGATTTTTAAAATCTGTTTCAGACACACACAGAAAAATTCCTATTCATTCAGTCTAAAGGATAATTCATTGAAAACCATTACTTTCAGATGACTGAACGGTTACCAAATCCGAATCCATACCTAAGTGCTAGCAAATGGTCGCAATTATTTTATGGGTAAGAATCATTGCCTTTCTCCTGTATTCTTCCATGCTATCTATCAAAATAGATGGGTATCTCCTCTCCTCGCACAAAGTCGAAAAGAGGGCACACTTCAAATTACCGATCTCTACAATCTTCCTCCTCATCTTGAATCTACAATACTCACCGATAAACTCGAAACTAACTGGTTTGACGAAATTAAACGGAATCCAGAGAAACCGAGTCTATTTCGAGCCACACTACGGACCATGAGATGGAAACCACTTCTGCTCGGACTACTACTTCTTGTCAATGTAAGTCTTACATTTCGATTTGTCATTTCATTCATCATGTATATATATGCCAGGAATTGTTAAATATCGCTCAGCCACTTTTGCTCATATTTCTCATGGACTTCTTCGAGCCGTGTTCTGCAATGTCCGCTTGGCGCGCATGGTTCCTAGCCATTAGTACAGTTTTTGTAGCATTTGTGTCCAGTATTATTTTCAATCAGGTCAGTATTATATTCTCCGAAAAATTTCATTGTTTTTCTCTAGAGTTATTATCAAATTTTATCCCTGGCCCTACAAATGCGTATTGCTTACACTGGTCTTGTTTTTCGAAAAGTAAATATTATGGTATATGAGATGACAGATTGAATTAATTTCAATTCTTAGGTGCTTCGTTTGTCGAGTTACTCCATGAACAATATCAGTTCCGGTAAAATCACGAACATTTTATCAAACGATGCCAGTCAAATTGAAACGGTTCTTATTTTCCTCAATTATTTGTGGGTATGTTGGTAATTCTGACGAATATTTCATGAAACTCCCATTTTTTACCCTAAGTAGATCATGATGCCTTTCTCCTAAAATATATCGTACTCTATCCTTATTATCAGCAAAGTAGAACTCCAGGATTCAAATGTGCTCGAAAAGTTTCTTTCAATAACTTACCTTCAATGTCTGATAATAGCTATCGTTGAGCAAATCTTTATGGTCAGAAGAAATTGCTTCGCTGAGTTCTGGGATTGCTGTCAGTTGAGCCTACCTGATATTTCATATAGGATCAACTTGTCTCGAGGTTACATATCCAGTGACACTACCATTTCAGTTATAGTCACTAACCTTCACAGTGCTCACAGATGAAGATCCACTGAGGCTCGCACTTCATGGTTCATTTGCCCCATTTTGTCGGTGATACTTTTTCCGCATCATAAATCTCTAATTAGTCAGCCTATAATAGGTAAATGTGTGCTCGTCATTAGGGATGACATTTTGTCATTTCTTTACAGACAACGAAATAGTATAATTTTTCCGTCACTCGTCACTGCTTGCTCATGAAGCCGTAAATGGCAAAATTGGCATTTAAATTTAAGTTTTCGTCTAGCCAAAAACGAGAATTTAAATACATTTGCGGACAACTTTTACGATTTAAATACATTTATTTTTGCATAAAGTTATAAATTCCCATGCATTTACATGCATTTAAATGCGTTCAGCAATTAAATGATTGTAAATTCATGCAAATAAAATTGATTCAAATATGTGCAAAACTAAATACATTTGAACAATCATTAACAGTTGAAGTTAAAAAATCTAATTATATTTAGTATCTTCTCTTCTATCCCTTTTCTATCTTATTCTCTCTTGATTCTCTTATATTTGTTACACTTGATGCTAACTTGTGAATAGTTCGTAGTGTATGCCATGATCGAGACTTGAACACATCTTTCCTACTTCATAACCTTTTACATTAGCCACTCTGCCACACAGTCTTGTTATGAACATATACGAGCTACCATATCATTGTCTAAATAACAAGTAAATGTGCATTTTTTCTGTGAGCGATAAGTGCATGATGCTCGTCGTTAACTGAGCCGGATTTTTTGTTCATTTTACTGGGTGTGAATGGGGTTAGAAGACTAATACGCACATTCACACCCGCTCCCAACATTTCAATGCGTTAAAATTCGCTGTGCTCATTCAGAACATAGCAAACAATCTGCTATCAGTTGCAATGAAAATCTGAAGGCACTGCCAATTGTAATAATGTTTATTGTTATTATTTTTCAGCTGTCTCCACTTGAAATTGCTCTTGTGGTCTACTTCTTCTGGTATTTCGTCAAATACGTTGCTTTGATTGCCATCGGATATACCCTTGTGCTCCTAGCCATTCAGACCATCTTCAGTCGCATATTCCTCCATTTTCAGTGCGTATTCTGCATATGCTCGTCTACTTTATAACCATTTTCTCTCATGGTAGAAATAAAATTTTGCAAGTAACGGATGAACGTGTAAAAATGATGTCTGAAATAATCAAATCGATGCGTGTCATCAAAATGTATTGTTGGGAATCGGCGATCGATAAGAATATTTGTCACGTGAGAAAGTAAGTTTATTTTATATTGAATGCAACCGTTTAGTCTCAATCGGTTTTAGACGCGAAATCATTCAATATGCCTGTCGTTCAATACTCGACTGTATTCAACTGGTTTGTTCGCAAACTTACATTAGTGTAACATTTCTGATGATGTATGCAACAATGTGGGCGCTGAATATTCGATTTGACACAAAGTTCTTTGCCGTTGCATCCTGCTTGCTTACCTATATGCGATCACCTATCGTCGAGTTTTTTAGTATGGGTGTCAAAGCTTTCGTTCATTATATGGCTGCTCAGAAACGGATTCAAGTTAGTTTATGTGATTTTATTCGTAACAGATGGGTCATAAAGAATGATCCTCTCAGTATTTTGACTATAACTTTTTTCTTTTCAATCTTTTGATCTAATTGTTTTTTCACAAAATGCCTCGTCAATTTCTCCGTAAAGCTTAATGAAATTTATTTCTATAGAAAAGTTATAGAGAAAAATTCAACGAAGACGACTCAACATGATGAAACGAACAACTTTCTAAGCTAAAAAAAGCGTTTTGCTAAACTACTTTCTTTGAACTTCATGATAAAAAGAAGAGAAGATAGGCATTTTGCAGTCCTTGAGAAGTTCTATCAATCATTATTATATGCACACAATGATAATTCAACTTTTGAGGCTAATATCGATTTTCTCTTTCTTTCGAGGATTTCCAAAATTCGGCAATTTGCATTTGTGGATTCAGGACTTCTGAAAATGTCGCATAACAAAGTTCAAAATAGTACTCTTTAGCTAGCATTTCCTTCTTTTGATCAGAAATTATTCTTGTACCAGACTCAGCGGCGAAAGTTTACCTTCAAGGTTTCATAAATTCATTTGCAGAAGAATTGCAGATTTTGATCGATTGCAATGGATTTGCGAATATTAGATTTTTCGATGGTAAGTTAGTTTAGAACGAGCTGTGAACTGTATAAAGAGAAAGAATGCACTTCAAAGTACTCGAAAATAGCTTCATTTTGTTTCATAGTCTTTATAGTTGCTTAAAATATTCTAAAATTTGTAAAATAAAATAGTTTAGAATGTTAATCTATTGCTTCATGTTGCGTATTCTTCGTTGAATTTCTCTCCTTTACTCTTCTATAGAAATAGATTTGATCAGATTTTATGAAGAATTTAAGGGCGCATCTTTTGGAGAAACAATCATGTCTAAGAGTTGAACGAAAGATAATATATAGTGAAAATACTGAGAAACTCATGTTTTATAGTTCACGCATATTGTATCTTACTGAACAATATTTATCAATAGACATTTCTTCTGCTTGGTGAATCTGAACGAGACAAACGATTATTGTCCCGATCGGAAACAGAGCTTGCGTCCGATGAGCAGAACGGACAAATGATGCTTCGGAGTACTCCAACAATATCGCCAAGTGTTGTATGCAATTTGGAACGAGCACAATGGGAAATGGTATGGTTCTCGAAAAATTGAAGAAGAAAAGCCGCTTTCCAGCTCATAATTTTTCCCAGAATACATGAATACTTATTTCGCTTGAATTGAGATCGATATTTTGAGTTTCCTACAGATTTTTTTTGTACAAAGCCTGTGCTTTATATTTCATTCGACCTTCAAAACCTTACCAAATTCTTAAGAATAGTAGTGTCTGGATTTTAGATGACGCTGCTGTCCAAAAATTGTCGTTGTGGGCCTTAATAAAATTATTAGAGATACTATCGAATTTCAATTTTGAAATTTGGCGTCAGGTGATAGCATTTTATCTCATTTCTTGTTTTGAAGTGCCATACCGATTCGTTCATCAAAATAAATGTACCACTTGTGGTGATCAACCAAAACTTTTACGATTCGAGAAGTTGTAGAGCAACTTATTTTCCATGAAAAGAAGAACTTTTATTCATTAGTAGATGTTTCCTTACGCAATTGAATTGGTAGAGACAACTATCCAATGACAAAATAGCAAGAGTAGATAATACTTTATACCAATGTTTCTTTTAAGAAAGAGCAAAGGGCGTGTACATAAACTCGATTTGTCATTTTTGCATTATTGTAGCCACATTAAAAGTTAAAAAATAATTTTCTTAAGTTTTGAAATCTGCTGATTACGTTTGCATTGCCAAACTATGCGAAAAATTGAGAGATTTAGGATCTGACCAGACTAAGCTTGTTTTGTAACACAGTTATGGAATCCGACGTTTTCCAAGAAAGTAACTAAGCTTAGTGAGCAGAAATCAAAATTTTTGCTTAGGACAGCTGCACTGTTCATGTGTGACACAGTGAAATTTTATCGATGCCAGATGTTGCAGCCAATAGTTTTTCGGAGGATTGCACGTTGGTAATGTTCGTATAACTTTCTGTTGATATTTTCAAGTTGAAGACTAAATCATGTCAATTTTGTTACTAGTAGCATCTCATATTTTAGAGAACTATTGGTTTGAGAAATTTTTACAATATCATTCTTATACATTGGAATGTGCAAAACCATATATACAGTCTTTGGACGTGTGTAGTAGTAGATTTGTGGATTAATTTGCTGATGTTTGGTCTTTCATTTAGAATGCATCATTTTCTCTCGACAGTATTGTATTCAATGCTCATCCAGGTGATTTAATCTGTATAGTTGGACCCGTTGGATCTGGCAAGGTCTGAAAGTTATCTTGAACACAAATACTCACTAGTATTGATTTCTAGAGTTCTCTCTTGCAAACACTTACAGGTGAAATCTCCTTTTTCGATGGGCATGTCCGATTGCACGGTTCATTTTGCTACGTACCACAAGAATCATGTGAGTATTTTTAATTCAAATAGTAAAACTATTATGGATTGAATCAGGGATCTTTTCTTCGACGATTAAAAAGAATATTCTATTGGGCAAAGGCTATGATCCACAGTTGTTTCAACGTGTTGTTCAAGCAACTGCACTTGATTCCGTAGGTATACTTAACTACAATACTTCATATATGACATACTTGTGCAATAGGATTTTGCTCAATTATCAAACGGAGAGAACACTCTTGTTGGCGATCAAGGCGCCATGTTATCGGGTGTAAATAGTTTCACTTGAATAAAGATTCTATGTAAATCGTTGTTTTTCGTCTAGGGTCAAAAGGCACGAGTAAATATGGCTCGAGCACTCTATCGAAATGCGGACATTTATCTTTTGGATGATCCTCTTTCGGCCGTCGATGTCAAAGTAGCCAAACATCTCTTTGAAAAGTAGACAAATTCTAGTATTTAGTTGAAGAAAGAAAGAAAGAAAGAAAGAATTATCGATTCTATTATAGATCAATTAAAGGTTATCTCAGAGAGAAAATTTGTATTTTGGTCACACATCAAATTCAATATTTGCAAAATGCAACCAAGATCATTCTTCTTTACAATGTATGTGTTTTACGCATTGAATTTTTCAGCAACCAGATGCTATTCTAGGGCGAAATAGCAAGTATGGGTACCTACAATGATTTACTTACCTCATCCTTATTATTCTATCATCTACTCGACGATATGCATCAACACGAGCAAGAGCAGTCTGTCGATCTTCATCATGAACATGAACAAGAGCATCCTGTCGATCTTTGCCGTCAACGATCAATTATCAATTCAACAAGTCCGGAGATAGAAGAAGAGTTTTTGGTGTTGTCTACAAGTGTTGAAACAAAACAAAAAGGCAGATTAAAATGGCATGTGTATGCTGCATACGTGCGAGCCGGTGCTGGCATTGTTGTTGGCTTTCTCCTTGTACCGCTCGTTTTGGCGGTACAACAAACAGCATATATTTTTAGCAATTGGTGGTTGGCAGCGTGGAATGATGACGAAAGTTATCGACATCAAATCTTTGACAATTGCACGATTGGTCAACAACACAACACAATATGGTCTATGACTGATGCTGAATGGAATAATTATCGAAATCGACGATTCTACATCTATTGGGGTCTGTGTACATTTTGTGAGCTCATTCTATGAAATTTCAAATTAAATTTTAGGAATTATACTCATTTTTGTTTTGATTACTCTCTTCCGCACTGCTGTCATCGAATTGATGTTTTTAAATGCTGCACGAGTGCTTCACAACAAGTAAATATTACCGTCGTTTCGATGTAACGCCTCAATTGATTTTCTTTAATAGGATGTTTCGACAACTGATTCGAGCCCCTATTGTTTTCTTTGATACAAATCCTGTCGGTAGGTGAAATATAATGGAGATGTATTATCGAAGCACCCTTTAGAGTGATGGAGCATTTTGACTAGAAATCTTTCCTTCCGACAGACTTCTGAGCTGAAAACCTTTATAGATTGAGGACAAAATCATTTCTGTACATGGAAATCTCTTCCTCTCCAACGCCCTTAAAAGTCTCTGAAATCCTTCATGTTTTTTCTGAAAAATTATTAGAAATAGTACGACCTAACAGAAGATCTCATTGAAACTTTTTGTTCTGAGACATATTAGAAAACACAAGATCTTCTAAACAGGGAGTTGAGGATAGTAATTACATCATTGACTTCTATGGATAAAAAAGAAACGTCTGCTTTCTGCATTCATAATCTGGTCCTTGCACAAGAAGATAATTCAGGATTGGTCAGAATAGATCAACGATTAGAGTGAGAGTCAGCCGATTTGTTTTTGGTGAAATCACCATGGAAATCAACAGAGCGTAAGGAAAAACTTTTGCTTCTGCTGGAGAAAACAAAGATTTTTCAAACTTTATAGTGTCATCCTCCGCGCTTTGGTCAGTCCTGAGATATTAATAACACACGGCCCAAGATCAAATAATGGGACCAATTGTTTTGCATTCAATGTGTCATGTCGACAACATGACCTTCTCTTCAAGATTGATTTAAGAATGATCATCAAGTAACTGTAGAAATCAAATGTCGAGTTGATATGTACCATGGATGATTCAATTGTTTGCAGATTCTTTACTCAGTGCCATTTCTGAGCATTTGTAGTGGAAGTTCGGTACTGTCTAACACAAGATTTCGTACCAGACTTCTGAATTTGAAAAAGTTTCTACACCATAATTGTAAGAAGACCAAGAAAACGTTTCGATCTTGATCCACCATGGAACAATTTGGAATTATGATTAGTTCGTCAAGTTCTGAAAGTTCACTTTTGTAACATAATTATTAGAAGTACTTCCATCGACAATAGAAAAGACATGTATTTCACGTAGGCATATGTATGTGAAAGGACCAGAAATGTTTTATCATCGCACAAACTATAACATCTCTCAGTCACTGTTTTATGAGCATTTCTTTGTATTAAACATATTTGCCATATACATATATATATATATACTCATTTGCTGTTATAGGCCGGATCTTGAATCGTTTCACTAAAGATGTGGCCATCATGGATGATTCTCTGCCAACCGATGCTTTTGACTTTCTCGATGTGAGTCGATCAAATATTATTCATGTGTATTTTCTTGTTGTTTAGTGTTGTTTTCAAGTTTTCGGCGTAGTTGTCCTAGTGTGTTGGCTCCATCCATGGTCCATCATTCCTGCGCTAATTTCTATCGGGGGCCTGTTATTTGTACGCTATCATTTTGCGTCAACTTCTCGTGATTTGAAACGACTCGAAGGTATTACACGAAGTCCTGTCTATTCTCACTTAACATCGACTATTCATGGTCTCAAAGTTATTCGATCCTATCGTGCTGAAGATATGTGGTCGGCCAATTTTCTAGAGCGTCTGGATGATAATACACGAGCAAACTATCTAATCATCGCAACTAATCGTTGGGCTGCGATCCGCTTCGATTGGGTTGCACTTATCTTCGTCAGTCTAGTAACATTGCTTGCAATGGTTCTACGTGTCACTAAATATCACCATTTTTCACCGGCCGAGATTGCTCTCGTTCTCTCATATAGTCTCAGCCTCGTGGCTTTGCTGCAATGGACAATAAGGTAAAAATAGTATGAATGAAATTTGTATGAATTGTTGATTGTTACAGACAATCTGTGGTAATTGAGACACAAATGACCTCCGTCGAACGTGTACTCGATTACTGTTCTCTCGACCAGGAACCTCCAGCTCAAGTGCCGCACGATCTTCGGCCGCCATCAAATTGGCCATCCCATGGTCAAATCGTCTTTGATAATGTTTCAATGCGTCATTCCACACAAACATACTTACCACTAGATTTGCGTCATATTTCGATGACAATCCAAGGTGGTGAAAAAGTAGGCATTGTCGGAAGGACGGGTGCCGGTAAGAGCTCTCTCATTCAAACGCTCTTTCGTATGGGCACACTTGTTGATGGTCAAATCAAAATTGACAATATTGATATCGCTTCTGTTGGCTTGGACGATGTTCGACGTCGCATTTCAATAATTCCACAAGATCCTGTGCTTTTCACGGGTACTATGCGAAGCAATCTCGATCCGTTCATGGATTATTCAGATGAGGAAATATGGCATGCGCTCGAACAGGTCTTTTGTCAACTAATCGAACGGGGGAACCTCTTCATCTGCTAAAAAGCTTTCGAGCTCAAAACTTCGTCCACAAGTAGGCAATGTATAGAATAGGAAAATCCTAGGAGAATATGGACGCAAGTTGCAATTTTGCTGAGATATCGACGTTTTAGTGTAATTATTCTGAAGTACTCCACTTTTGTGGTAAAATCAAAGCTTTGAATTTTGAACTGACACTTTGCTCATATCAAACCATCAATCAGACTAGGTTGCCTACAAAGTTTCGCTGATTTTGGACAAATTATCTTGGAGATACCAGTGTGCTAGCAGAAGGACACTTTTCTATATAATTTGTGTTATGCATAAATATTTTGAAAAAGTAATATTTCAAATATGATTTGTCCAAAAACTCTTAAACTCTGTAGTAAAGCTATTCTGACTGATGCCTTGATGTAGACAAAGCTTCAGGTCAAAAGTCAAAACTTTAGTTTTACCGAAAAATTGAAGTGCTTCAGGATAATCACAGTAAAACGTCGATATCTCAGCCCAATCGCAACTTACATCCATATCCTTTTTGGATTTTTCTAGTCTAAACATCGCCTACTTGTGGACAAACTTTGAGCTCAAAAGCTTTCCTCGTAAGACTGTATTATTAACTCGAAATTGTTACAGGTCCAATTAAAAACACTAGTGACCGAAGGAATGCCGAATGGACTTCATTCGATGGTGAGCGAAAGCGGTTCGAATTTGAGTGTCGGCCAAAAACAACTCGTATGCTTGGCTCGAGCTATTCTGAAACAGAGCAAAATACTTGTCATTGATGAAGCCACTGCCAATGTCGATAATGTGTACGTGAACAACTCTTTATAGAAACCAGGGTTGCCGGATCTTCTGAAAAATCAGGAAAGTTTCTAAAATTTGACCGATTTTTTTTATCCCTTTCTGATTCTCCTATTTCTCTCTAATTTTTTTCTGAACTATGAAAATTTTTTAGATTGTAGCTTTCCCAGTAAAAGCAGATGTGATTATGACCAATAGAGCATAAATAGGCGTTATCTTTTTTCTCTCTTGATTATTAGATAATTTCTTAACAGAGCTTTGAATGTGATGGACCAATCCCATCTCATGAGATTTTCTTTTTCTTATCTCATGAAAAAACGTAGACTCTTTTCTAATGAAATAGGCATTCAAGATACTTTATAGGAGTGGTAGACCATAGGGTTTATTATACTCTCATTGTTGGCCTTTTTCTTCAATAGCAACAGTTTCATTTCTTACTTTCTTGTCCTATTTTGTATAGAAAAATGTTTAATATTTTCACAGTAGTTTAAACAATGAAAACTAAAACTAACTTTGAGGAGTTCTGTATACTTTAAGTTCGTTTAAGTTTTTTAATACTTTCCCACCATAACTATTGATTATATGAAAAAAAAGCCAAGCTTCTAAGGAATATTTACTATCTCTACTTCAAATTAGTTTTTCACGTCATGTCTGTATAAGTTTTGGTTAAGAGAAGACCAATGGGTAGATAGAAAAACCTGATGGATTCTGCTGAGTCGTAACAATGATAAAATCTACAAGGGTACGCGAAGATCTAGAGAAATCCACCGAATTGTACCAGAATACGAAAAGATCTCCAATGATCCTTAACGATCTGGGAAAACTAATTAAAGTCATCAGAAGCTGAGCATTCATGAATGAAAAATGCATTGGAGAAGAAGCGTTATGAATTCTTAATGCTTAGAGACATGACATTGAAATCTTCTAAGAAAACAGAGGAATTCTGAATTCTGGCAGAGCCCAATAAATTCTACCGGATGTCAATGGATTTCGATGAATTTACTATCATGTTCTTTGTAGTTCATCAAGATCTTAATGTCATAGATTCACAATTTTGTTCTTGAAGAAAGCAGTAAGATTTATGTGATTAGTACAAAAAAATTAAAATGCGAAATAAACTGGCCATAACTGAAACAGATAGAGAGAAACTGAAATGATTGAATAAGAAAGTCATGGAAGTCGATTCAAGCCTTAACAAAATATTTTCACTAGACTAGTTGTTACATATGACTAATGGGATAGGATGAAACGGCCTGGAAATTCCATTTAGAGCCCCAATGAGAACATAATAGCCACTAGTTTGCTAAAACACATTGCTATCTAATTAATTTCTGATTCTGAGAAAAAAATTCTGATATTGAAGTGTTTGATCTGACAACTCTAATAGAAGCCGTTAAATATCATACTATATGTAGCACGGATGGATTAATACAACGAACCATTCGTGAGAAGTTTAGCGAATGTACAGTTCTGACTGTGGCTCATCGTCTGCGGACAGTGATCGATAGTGATCGCATTCTGGTATGGAAATTTCAACTAGAGTTTGGTTTCTGTTCTAATTTGTTGTGTTGAAGGTACTTAGTAATGGGAAATTGCTCGAATTCGACACGCCCGTTGTGCTGCTCTCGAATCCCACTTCTCATTTTACTTCACTCGTCGAACAGGGCGGATCGGTCGAAGCCAAACATCTTCGAGCTTTGGCAAATGCAAAATCGCTACAGCAAATTGTTGATCACGGGTGCATCAATGATGACATGAATATTAACACTAACTAGCAGTAGAGATACTGCGTAACTTTCTATTGACAAACACCTGTTTCTATTCTTTTTCTTTCTCTTTCTTTTCATATATTAATCATCTTTGTCTCACTAGAGACACGTTGTAGCTTTCCTATATCTATGGTTTCCCATTTCTCCCTTTATGGTATATGATCAGCGAGAACGACGAGTACAAAATCAAGTTTTCAATGTCTCTTTTTCATTGGATAGGTTTCTATCAGAAATCCAAGCATTGATCACAAAACATTTGCCAAATGAGCGTCATCTACAGCGCATATGATTGAAAACTCGACTTAATGTCTTTCGCCCTCTCTGACTGTAAACCATTACCCTATTTCCATGGACTATTTTCTCTCATTCCCCAAGTTAATGTAGCTACCAACTGTTGCTGTTATTCCTGTTTCTACTCTGATATAGATTGTTGATCATTAACCATTATTAAAGACAGATTTCTTAGGACTACTTACCTTGATTGACTGATTGTTGTCATGGACAAGGTGAATAAGCGGTTTTCCGTGAGAATTTTTTCCCTTGCAGACCGAGAATCCTATCAGAGTGTTCTTTTCGGCTTGCGTGACTCACAACGGCAGAACCATTGGGCTTGCTCTCAAAGCACAAAGAAATCACTTATAATCTCAATCAGAAGTCATTTTCAAATGGCAACGACACCGATGTCTTCTTGCATAGACTATTGCGACACATAAAATGAAATGAGTATTGAAGTATATGACGAGGAAAGTGAACATCCCATTTCGCACAGATCGTGACAGACATTTCCGTATGCTCGTCTTTTAACCTCGCCATGGATGACAATACATGTGGCGAGGGCTCTCGTTTACGGTTAAATTGACGTCATTGTGTTTCACATTTTAATTCCGCAGAGATTGCGCTGAAATTTTTTTTCTATCACAGTGCAATTGAAATTAACGTAGACGACATTTTCGTCAGTTTTTCTATACTATTGATTCATGTGAGGACTTGTGACTTATCGGGTGGCTAACTCTAAAGAGTGAGTAGAGAATGTGCAACGCAGCATGAACTATATTGTCGACAACTATCTATGATTGTCACTTTACTTTAATCGGAGTTACATTCGTCGGACTAACCCAAGGAGAAAACGGCGAATCTTGTATTTTCAGGATTCCGAGAATTCCCATTGTATTTTCAAAATTTTCATTTAGATCTTAAGATCTTCATCGTACTCCTGGAAACTTCATTTAGTTCTGTGGATCTTCACCACATTATATAGTCAGAACTACTCGATTAAACTTTTGAGAACACAAAAATTTGTTGCCATCAGTAGTCTAGACACGGCATCTAATAATATAGGCATCAAGTCAACTGGGACAACAAAATAGTTTAGTTTCTTATTTTTATTGAAAAAAAAGAGCAACAGGAAATAACAAGAACATCTAATATCAAATTAACCTATAGTATCTTCCATGTAATCGTTTATTTATCCAGCGACTCGACTCTTGAGCACATTTAAGCCGATCAGCTTATGGCACAGTCGTATCATCTGTTAAATGCCAACAAGCTATCGTCGAAGACTCTCATTCCATGAAATCGAGATTTGTCACTTGCTGAAAAGAAAGCACATTATCAGTTTCGTCTTTAGACGAACTATATTCCTCTGATTTCGTTAAAAAAAATAACACCAAATTTGAATTTGTAGTTTGACTTATCATCAAATGAGTAGCTGAGACAGTCATCATACGAGACGTTTTAAATTTTTTATTTTTAAATTGAGCTCGTATAAACGAGTTCACTTGTTTCATCATAATTTTTTTCGCTTTGTCCAAAGCAATATTAACATCAAGTTCAGAGAGAAGACCATAGGCATGATCAAAAGCTAGACAAATAGTCTTTTCAATATTATCATATGTAAGACGATCGCTGAATGAATTGAAGACTGATTTTTTCCAAGCAGAGTCTTTTATACAATACACGTGATAGATCTGATATGAATGTGTTAGTTTGTCTAGTTCATCAGTCATGCAATGTCAATTCCACATTGTCAAACTCTACGCTCAACTCTGTAAAGAGTTCATTGCCTTAATAAGAGACACGAACCATGGGAAATAAAACAGTGAGCTAGATGCATATTGTCCTATTTATTATCACAAATGTTATAATCATGATAATACTGGATGAATTCATTTCTCTGGCTGTTCGATGAAAGATTGAATGCATTGAAAACTATTTATGAATCGAAAATGTTTACTTTGCATTACTCTAGTAGTTTCATTAACGTTTTTTGGTTAGAGACTTTTTGTATCAGATTTCAGACATGATGACATCAAAGTGTCAGTAAAGTAACCGCTGAGATTTTTCTATTCCTAAGACTGAAAGAAGATGCAAGATTTGTTTCAAGAGAATAGTTATATAGGATGCTTAATCGTTAAGGACTATCTCAATTTAGGAAGTATTTGTATTTGTTAAAGAAAAAATCGAATACAGCTTTACACGGCTCAAGGTAACGGAGAAGCATAAGTTTGTGTACCTATGCGAAGTTGTCATCATTCAAGACTTGATCTTATACAGAGTGTCCTATCTGACAATGTAGGCTCAATGTTTATTTTAGGATGATGTCATGGGACTCTTATACTGACAGTCGAATCTAATTATTTTGAACCATATACGAAGAACGGGTTAAAGAACATCCTGAGATGTACCACAGCCCAATGCGATATATTTATTTAATTTTGCAAAAGAAATAAAGATAACATTACCCATTGGTGATCATGGTTCGAGAGAGACACTTCTTCTTAGTTTTCCATGTTAAGAGAATTTAATTGAAATAATCGAGTATAAATGATCAGTTTAAATGATGGATCACTAACGATTAGCTGAATATAATAGCATCTTGCAAGAAAACCTATTCAGATATCAAATCATTTTTCGTATAGAACTATTGCTATAAGATAGGCCCTTGTGAATAGTGTAAAAGTCTGTCTTGGTTTTGATGTCTGAGCCTCTGAGATCAATATATCAAATTTTCGAGTGATGAACGAAATAGTCTTTTGTTATCAAAAATAGAAATTCATGCTGAGTCTTAAAGGATTCCTCATTCGATTCTCTACGAAGTTACATAAGAACGTTTGCTCTAAACTTTCAATTACAAAAATGGCGGAATAATACTACACTTCTACAACGTATAAACCCTCCAAAATGTTTTTTTTCTGAAAAATTGATGTGTTCGTTCTATTATTGAACAAGGTGAAAAAGTGAAGCTCATTTGACCCAGGTATTATGACGCACAGGCCAACTTCTTGAAACTGGCTTGAAAGCAAGCGAAATTTGACTTATTTTGCTCATTCCATACGAATTCATAATTCTATTCTCATTATGAGGTAACTATGTAATGTAACATTCATGTCTCTTCAAACTGACAAAACATGAGCTCAAAAGATTAAATTTCGGTCAACTTTTATCAAATTTTCTAAAGATTCCAAGATTGTTAATTTAAAATCGTGCTTTTTGCAGGTTATGAAAAGAGGACATCTTTTTCAAAACGATGGACTTTAGTACAAATAGTGATGGAACATAATTGAAAGATAGAACATTTTGTGGACTACGAAATAATTAACAAGTTTGTTTGAAGAGTTAATGTTTGAACGAATAAAACTAGAACAATTGATTTTTATCTTGAGGTGTTACATATGTTGCAGTTCATTTTATTGTCATGTTTTTTTCACGAGAAAAGTAAAAAATGATCAATGTTGGTAGTGTGAGAGTTGAACAATGTAGACAAATGCATGCAGAGACATGATTGGCAACATAAAACTAGAAAATGAGTCGAGTTAGGGTCGCAAACAGCTACTGCGACGTGCTAAACCGTCACCATAGTCACATGCCGGGCAATCCGCCTCAGTCAAGAACTTTACTAGAGCCATAGTAAACATTTCTGGATCCTGCATAAACGCAAAATGGCTCGTTCTCGGCAGGATGAGCTCACCTGCTTGTGGAATCCAACTAGTCATCGTATCTGGTTGATCTCGCTTGATAGCTTCTTCATGATCGCCAACTACTATCCATACAGGCAAATCTGGAGAAATCTTGGCAAAGTCATCTCTCGTCCAATTCGGAAGACTACCCGAAATTGCTGTTAAATTATTGTACAAATGCTGAAATTGCTTGATTGGACTCAGTGTTTCGTATTCGACCTGTACACGTGTGAAATACGCAGTAGCAACCGACGATTTAGACACATCTTTTATACCAGAAAAAACATAGTTTGCTGCGAATGCAAACAATGAAATCAATCTCTGAGGGTAATTCATCGCCAAATTGAGCGCAATATTTGCTCCAGCACTCCAGCCAACTACATGAATCTGATTAATGCCAAGGTAGTCGAGCAGACCGACGACGTCAGAAGTCATTAGATCATAATTAATATTTTCTGAGGAGGATGAGCTTCGACCGTGTGCTCGAGAATCCATCAGAATACATTTGTAAGTGTATTGCAACTCTTGAACTTGTAATCCCCACCAATCACTGCTAGCGAATATACCATGAAGAAAAAGAACAGGAATACCATTTTCTGGTCCATAAATAGTATACCAGATGCTAATATTATTGATTTCTGCATATCGGTCGGAACGAGGAGAAGGAAGTTGAGGCGTTGGTGGCAGTCGTAGCCATGGATATATTGAATTTAATACTGTCGTGTCTTCAGCTGTAATGAATCGAACGACACAGGCGAACACGAGAAGGATGAGATGCATTGTATTCTTTTCGTTATGTTAGTTTCGTAAAGTTTTATGCGCACAATATTTTTCTCTTGTGCTTTGTTGGATATCT